GATCCACGCTGGAGCTCCGTGGGGCTGGAAGTTCAGGGCGTGTGGTGACGTTGTGAGACGCAGTGGGTGTAATTTAAGTATCGTGGTTTTACCACCTCCCCTTGCAGGGTGACACGAGCCGTGGCCTCGCTCTATTTATAGGTGTAAATCGGCAGCTGTTTAATTCCTTTCGAGCAAGTTCAATTTTCATCCCCTTCCCTCGAGGCTTCCCTGCTACGTCTGCTGCTGGTGCTGGGAGCACACAGCCCTCTCCGTGCCCTTCCCAGGCTCCTCACTCCCTGTCTTTGCAGGGAGTCACTGGATCCAGCTCCGTTTTCCAAGGGAGATGCACAGCGGGGCTGAAACACTCCCAGTGACACATCCCATGAGGGCTGTGCTGGAGGCCACCAGCCATCAGCAAAGCCTGGCTGATCTTTGGGCAATTGATGGTCAGGCAAGGGAAGAGAGAAATCCAGCATTTTTTTTACGTGAGGAAAAGGGATAAATGGGAAGAAGCTGCAGCCAAACTGTGGGAGCCTGAGATGGGTTTTCCCCTGGGAGCCGGTTGCAAAATGCTCTGTTCTTTCATTACTATCCTCACAGGGCTTTAGCCTTGCTGGGGGCTTATTCCCACATCCTTGACCCTCCACCACCCAAAACCAACCATCTCTCCTTCCTGCCCTGCTGCTTCTTCTACCTGGAGAAAGAAGGGGATGGTCCTGAGTAATGGCTTTGTGGATGAAGAGTCCCCGTGGCTGGGGACACATCAGTGATTTTGGGGTTCAGCCAGCAAAGTATCCACATGTGGGGGCTCTCCATGGTCCCCATGTGACACAGGAATATGGGATGGTGTCCACACCTGCCTGCATCCCTCCCCACTGGGATTGCTGATTGACCCAGGACTGCTGCCTCTCTGTAGGGCCCACCCAGCCCAGTGTCCTAAAGGGTTAAAGTGGCCTTTGGAGTGGCCCTGGTCTGCTCAGACACGTGTGTCTCCTCCAGCCCTGCTCTCTGCAGTGTCCTTCAGAAGGGCAGCCCTTCTGAGCATGCCTGCTCCCCCTCCTTCCCAAACCCTGTGCCTTCTCCCAGGGCTTTTCCAGCTCCGCAGCCACTCACTCCCACCCTGCACCCCAAAAAATCACCCATGGGTCCCCAGCGAGCCTCACACGGGGGTCTTCACCACCCCCTCACCCAGACTGACCCCTCATCTGCCTCCTTCCAGAGAAAAATCATCCAGGGGGGTGGGAGAGCTGCCTAACCCTGGTTAATGATTGTGTAATTCCTCTTGTCTGCTGGAGCCTGCAGCTGCTCCAGTAAACTTGGGAGGCCTGGGAGGACAGGGTGTTTTTGTAACCATTCTCATTTTTGTGCCTCTTCTTAGCTAACAGGCATCATCCTGGAAGCATCCTGGCTTTCCCAAACAATCTTCCCATGCGTGGGTGCTTGGGAAGCCGGGATGAAGCCACGGGAGCATCCGGCTTAACCGTGAACGTGCCGAAGCCCTTCCAGCCACTCCATGTGCTCCCTTCCCTCCTTCTCCCCCTCTGTACCCGGCTCCAACTTGAAACACCAGCCAAGTGTGTTTTCTTCCCTCCCTCCTCCTTCATATTTCTTTTCCTCCTGGGAAAGGAGGGGACGTTAATCCCACCCTAATTCAACCTGCAGGAGGATGTGGTGGCTCATGCCAACCCCAGCTGCAGGGACTGGCTCACAGGGACAACCCCCTTGTCCCCAGGGCTGGCACAGTGTCTCCTGATGCAGGCAGGCATATATATTATTTTTTTATTTTCTTTTTTTTTATTGCCTCTGAACACCAGCATTTTTCAGGGCCATGGGAATTGCAGAGCCTCTTCCAGCTCTGACTCCAGGAATGTCCCCATGGTGGGAGCTGGAATGGGAGATGTCAACATCTCCCTGACCTGGCCTGGATCAGGGAAGTGCGTGAAGGCTTTACCTCCTTTCCTGCACGAAAAGTGTTTGATTAAAGTGTTCTTCTAATGTTCTTTCCGCACTGCTTTGAGGGAGGTCTTTAAAATCAGGGGAGGGAGCGCTGCCAGAGCTCTGACTAAGCCTGACCTTGGATCCTGTGCCATATGGAGCTGTATTGCAGCGGCCGGGGTGCTGGGAAGCTGCAAATCGTTCCCTTCTGGCCTTGAGAGAGGGTTCCCAAATGTCTGTGAGCAGCTCAGGGCGTGGAGGTCACCTCAGCTTCAGCTGCAGGGCGAGAAGCATGTGGGACCTGGCTGGTTCTGACATCCCCAGGGTGGGAATGCTGGGTCTGGGTTGGGTGCCATCACCCTTCCCTCCCTATCCCTTCCCTCCACATCCCTCCCTGGGCTCTTCCTCCCTGGGCTGAGGATGGAAGCAGATCAGATCAGGGTGGGTTTGGAGTCATTAGGCAGAGAGGGAGCAGACGCTGCTGGATGGAGCTTATATAACCCCAGGCACAGCATCCGGCCCCTGCCAGGGCTGCAGTAACCCAGATACAGCCCAGGAAGGAAAAAAACTACTCGTGGGGCAGAGTCTCTCCCTGACTGGTTGCTCAGGAGTAAATATTTACGTGGCACTGCATCCGCCAGCAGCCGGAGCCTTGGGAAAAGCAGCCCAGCTCCCCCTTGGAGGGATGGGGATGAACCTTTAGCAGCTGAAATGGGAGCCCTCGTGTTGGAGAAGTTAGTGGGGGCAAATTCCTGATGTTGCCATCGATTCCTTGGGCAGGAATGACCCCATGTGAATCTGCTGATCCCAACATAAAGACAAGAAACGTTCAGGAGCTGCAGCGCCAGCACTGCCTTGCGACAGCTTTCCTTGCCCCAGAATCTCTTTCAGTTGAAGGATGGGTGTTTCCTCCAGTCCTTCAAGTGTTTAGACTGTGGTTAAAACTGGAATTCCAGTCCCATCTCCTTTCTGCCCTAACCCAAGGAATTGCTGACCACCAGCAATCCCTGTGTTCCCTTGCTGGGCACGTGGAAGCCAGGGTGCGTGATGTGGGCAAGGAGCTGTTTTAATAGGATCTATTAACTCCTGGATTTCCTTTTCCTTGTTTGCTCAAGCTCTCAGGGTTGGTGTTGACTCAACTGGTCTCTCTTTTAATAGTTTCAGTGCTGTTTGATGCTGTCCACAGGGGAGCTGCTTCCATGGAGTTTGTTTTCCAGAGGAAGAAACTTGAGTGACTGCGCCTGCCCCAAGCTGGGGATTTGGGGGTCAGGTGTTGCTCTCAGGGAAATGAGGTCTCAAGGGGAATTCCCTGCTGGTAGGATTCAGGAAGACTGCTTGAAATACAGTGGGTGCTTCTTCATGGGTGAAGCTGCTCCGTGTGCTCGCCTGTGCATCCCTGTTCATCCTCCAAATGTGGATGTGCCAGGGACCAGCTGCCTCATCCCCTCAGCTCCCCACCACTTGTTTATTCAGGCTGTGCTGGCAGCAGTGTGCCAGGAGTCTCGTACGCCTGGTGCGGGCACTGCTTCCCCATTCCTGCTCCTCAATCCTTAGGGAAGCACATCCCACACAGCCCTGCCAGCTGGGGGGACCTCTCAGATGCCAGTTCCTGCCCTTCTGTGGAAAGAACCACTTGCTGCTTAACAAAGGAACCTGAAGGAGCAGTGGGGTCTGGCTGTGCCCTCCTGCCCCGTGGTGGAGGATTTACAGACCCCACTGCAGCAGAGATCCCAGTTTGCAGCAGGGGCACCACATTTGAGAACAGGAGGGTGGCACCAGTAGGTGCAGGTGAACAGCAAATAATCTTTACCAAATCAGCCAGAAACAGGAGCCTGAAGGGTATTAAGCATTATTATTATTGTTATTGTTATTATTATTCTAGTTATTACCAAGGCTTATTCCCCTTCCTGCTGCCCCCAGATATGCCCATGGCTGGCCATCCTCATCACCCAGCATCCTGCTGCAGCCTTCCTCACCCTGCCACAGCCTTCCTCATCCTCCAGGAGGGAAATTCGGGCACAGAGCTGGGATCAAACCAGTTCACCCCTGCCTGGCATCATCCCCACAGCGAGGGGTTTTCTTCCCACTAGTCACTCCCACCCCAAAGCGGGATGCTGGAACGCTCGGAGCAGGATCCCAGCAGGATCCCACCAACAGATTGGTCCAGATGAGCTCTGGAGCACTCTAAAAATACTAAAGCAGAGAAAGCAGGGAGCAAAAAATGGCTGAGATTCAGTGAAATCAAAGGCATAATTAAAATGCAGCCCGTGTGAGTGTATTTTTAGGACCCTACAAAAAGGCCCTAAATCACTGAATTCCCATCAGCACACGAATGTTCCAGTTTAATGGAATCCTGGGGCCTGTGGGGAAGAAGTGAGAGATGCTTAATTGTCAGTGTTTGTGTTTTATTCATGATTGAACATACTTACCAAGCAAAAACTGATTTGCTGTGGGCTTCTCACTGCTTGTGTGGCTTTGAGCCTTATTCCAGCCAGCAATTGCCTGGCATGCTGGAAGGTTGGTTGTTCCTGGTGTTTGCATGAGCTGTGCATGGAGAAGGGATTATTGCCTCCTCTCCCATGGGGAGCACCCTGCCAGGGCTGCCTTGGGGTGCTCAGTGCTTGTGTGGGCTCCAGGGGATCCGAGACAGAGGAAAACCCTGTGAGGGTGAATCAGGAGCTGCATCCAGGCTGAGAAGTCCCTGAACGCGGGTGGCTGGATTTTGGGAGAGCTCTGGGAGAAAGTCTGGATGTTCCCATCTCCTCCTGGCCTCCCCTCATACCTGAACCTGAAGCCACTGAGCATTTGCTGGTGCTGCTGTGGCAAAGCCAAGGTAGAAACCAGGCTCCCTCCCACATCGCTCCGGCACCAGGGACCCGTTGGAGCAGCCGGAATGGTGCGGCCGGACCTGCACGGAGCCTCGGGCGTGATGAATCCTCTGGGCTCACCCACCCTGTGCCTGCAGCTCAGGTGGCAGTCTGGGATCTAATCCTGCCCCCGTACCTGTGGCTGGGAGCTGATTCACTGCCCGTCCTTAGGGAGGGATTGTGGAAGTGACACCTTTTCCCATCGGAGCCGGATTGATGCGGCGCCTTCCCCCCGTCGGCTGCGCAGGTGGAGGAGGGATGAGCCGGCACCGTGGCACAGATGTGGTCCCTGCAGGCTCAGGGAGGGGGCCCGGGGGGGGGCTCTGGATCGTCAGCGGGATCGTGACTCGTTATGGGATGGGATTTAATGTGTTGTGAAACGATGTGCAGATGGCACAGCCGCCCGGCCGGAAGGAACGGAGGAACACGGGATGCCAAGGCAGGGTTCCTTATTTTAAGCTGCTTCCCTTGCCAGGGAACAAATATGCCTCGCTTCAAAATAATAATTATAAAGCCTGGGAGAAGATCCAGGGAACCCAAAATCCTTCTGTGGGTATTGGTGTGTTGGCCAGATGCCTGGCTGGGGGGGTGTTTGGTGGGGGAATATCATCCCAGCAGGTCATGGCTGGCTCAGAGACCAGCATTTGGGGTCATGCTGTGATTAGAAAAGGGGAAAACATGTTCCCTGTTACCTTGCACCTCAAGGATTCATCCTGTCCCTGCTGCAACCAGGCATGTGAAACCTCCCTGCTGGCCCCTGAAGCTGCAGGAAGGTGAATTGCATCCTGAAACCCACCGGGCACCAACCTGTCCCCTGCATCAGGGATCACCAGGGATGGGCAGTGTGCTGCTGCCAGCACTGGTATGCCAGGAATAATGGCACTGGGTGGGCAGGGTGCTGTCTGACAGGAGGGAAATGCCAGTGCCTACGTGTGCTCGGGATTAGCTGCAATGGGAAGAGCTGGAGCCAGCAACAGCTTGTGTGGGGAGAACTGTCTGTGCCACAGGCGGCTGTCGTGGGCCTGGGGGTCTGCAGAGAGACCCTGGGGTGTCCCAAGGGTGGCTGTTGAACTGGGATTTACTGTTATGTTCCGGCTTGAGATCAGCAGTGTCAGGGTGTGTGGGTCTGGTTTCCACTTGACAGAGTGTCAAGGTTTTCCTCTTGGGACAGGAGAGGAAACTGAGGCACACAAAGATAGTGGATGCTGAAGAGTGCAGGGAGGGCTGGGAACTGCTCCCTGACCCCAGCAGGGGTGTCCTCCTGCAGACAACACCTTCCATTTGTACAGCCAACGTGTCCTCCTCCTCTCTCCTCCTCCTCTCCAGGCTTCCACGTGATCCCTTCAGTGTCCAGCATCGTTCCCGAGAGCTGCCTGCTCATCGTGGTGGGCCTTCTGGTCGGGGGGCTCATCAAAGGGGTGGGCGAGAAGCCCCCCATCCTCAAGTCGGACATCTTCTTCCTCTTCCTCCTCCCACCCATCATCCTGGACGCCGGCTACTTCCTCCCCTTGCGCCAGTTCACCGAGAACCTGGGCACCATCCTCATCTTCGCCGTGGTGGGGACGCTCTGGAACGCCTTCTTCCTGGGGGGGCTGATGTACGCTGTGTGCCAGCTGGGTGGCCCCGGCCTCAACCACATCGGCCTCCTGGCCAACCTGCTTTTTGGCAGCATCATCTCTGCCGTGGACCCTGTGGCCGTGCTGGCCGTGTTTGAGGAGATCCACATCAACGAGCTGCTCCACATCCTGGTCTTCGGGGAGTCCCTGCTCAACGACGCCGTCACGGTGGTGAGTGCGCGGAGGGGCTCGGCCAAGGGGATGGGGCTGGGTTTGGGGGAGCATCTCGGGGTGGTGGCACCAGGACACCGGGACTGGCAGCTCATGTCAGGGCCATTCCAAGCTGCTCAGCTGCAGCAGCTCCGAACGCTCCGAACCTTGTCCAGCTCGAAGCTAAATATAGCGGCTTAAAACACTGCGGAGGTGAGTTAGGGTGAAGCAGTTTGCTTGATGGTTTGGGGAGGCCAAGGGCACGTGTCCAGCCAGCTGCTGCCTCTTGGTGAAGAGCGGGGACTGTGCCTGGTGCCTTGGTTTGCTGGGAATCAGCTCTCCAGGGTGGAATTGCTGCCGTGCCCATGCCTGTCCTGCCAGAGAAAGCAAGAGGGGCTGGTGCTGGGTCAGGCAGCATGGCCATGTAGCTGCTGCTCCCTCTGTCTCCTCTCATGTGGTCACCCTTGCTGTCCTCCAGATGCAGCCATGAGGAGGTGGGAGGGCAGGACATCACCAGCCATGGCAAGAGGGGAGCTGGGGGGCTGCAGCCAGGCTGGCATCCCACCAGACCACCCTCGGCCCCATTTTGAGCAGCAGCTTTGCAGGGACCTTTGGGAGGTGGAGCCAGGCCTGCTCCATTTCCAAAGGACGTCAGTGTCCAGGTGCTGGCTCAGCCATCAGTGTGGCCTCCTCCTCTCTGCAGAGCTGACCTCTAAATTTACTTCTAACCCACTGCTTTTTCCTGGCTCCTCTCCCATGTCCCAGCTGTCCGTTTCGGAGCTGGCTGCTCAGCGTGCTGCTGTGCTGCTGACGAGGTTCCTGGTGACGAGGAACATGCTGACCCACCACAGGGCTCCTCCCAGGCACTACTCCCCCATTTTTGACCAGAGGGGCTGCCTGCAGGATCTGTGTCCCTGCTCCCATCCCTGGGGAATTCTTTTGCCTTCTGCTGCCACATCTGTCCCTGCCCATGTCCCAGGGCCCAGCCCTGGCAGGCAGGAGCTGGCACCTCGCCCTCTGCCTGCTTGCAAGTGCTGCTGTTCCTGCAGGATGCCCTAAATCCCTTTTCCCATCCTGACATGCTGCCTTAACATCTCTCCAGTGTCTGGAGGTGGGAGAAGGTGATGCAGCCCGGGGTGGGCTCCTCCTGTGAGGTTTCCCTCAGTTCCAAAGCTGTCTCAAGGGTTTGGGCTCCTCTCCGGCTGAGCAGAGCAGATGGTGGCTTTTCTCTCTGTGCATCTGTCAAGGGTCTCCCAGCCTGGATCTGTCCTGACCTTTCCATTGGGAAACAGGAACAGTCTCTGGCTGTTTCAGACCATGACCAAAGCCCTTCCTGGGACAGTTGGAGAGCAGAGCTGTCCCAGATACATCTCTGATGGCCCAGTGTCCCTCTGAGCCACAGGGGATGAGGAGCTGGTTGGTCCCTATGGGTCTGTGTAGCAAAGCACCACCAGCCTTTTTTGGCATGAGGCTTGGTCAAGCACAGGACCCAGCCTGGGGTCACCAAGCACTGACACACCTCAGCTCAGGTGTGCCACACTGGGGCCCTGCCTGGCTCCCAGGGAAGGTCCCCGTGCAGGTCTCCTCCGAGGTGGGGTTGTCTTTTGCCAGCAGGACAGTTTGAACCCCTCTCCTTTCTCCCTCCCAGGTCCTCTACCACCTCTTTGAGGAGTTTGCCAACTTCGAGCAGGTGACCATCCTCGACATCATCCTCGGCTTCCTCAGCTTCTTCGTGGTGTCGCTGGGCGGTGTCTTGGTGGGCGTCATTTACGGGGTGATCGCCGCCTTCACGTCCCGCTTCACCTCCCACATCCGAGTCATCGAGCCCCTCTTCGTCTTCCTCTACAGCTACATGGCCTATCTCTCTGCAGAGCTCTTCCACCTCTCCGGCATCATGGCGTGAGTTGGGAATGGGGGGGGATGAGACGCCCTCCTGTCCCCAGGACCGTTTGGAGGATTTACTGTGGTGTAACCACCGACCCAGCATGGCTAGTAACTGCCCAGTGAGGGCCAGAGGTGTGTTTGGGGTGGTATAAGCAGGGAGGCAGATGAGGAAAGTGACTCTTGAGTTGTTCCACAGATCCCAGGGTGCTGGCAGCCCGTTTCCCATTCTCCTGGGTACACAGGAGCAGGCAGGGCCTGGCTCCAATGCTCACTCCTGCCCTGCCAGGGGGAAGGATAAACCTCCTGTTGCCTTCTCTAGAGGCCTTGAATAATTGCTGGTGCCTCACAAGCTTTGTCCTGCTCTGTGTTTTGGTGCAAGAGCACAAAATGCTGCTGCAGGGCCAGGGTTTGGGGCTGTCCCCCAAAACACTGCTGCAGGGCCAGGGTTTGGCGCTGTCCCCATGTCCCCATGACTGCTGAGTGTCCCAACCTTGCCCCCAGGCTCATCGCCTCCGGCGTGGTCATGAGGCCCTATGTGGAAGCCAACATCTCCCACAAGTCCCACACCACCATCAAGTATTTCCTCAAGATGTGGAGCAGCGTGAGCGAGACCCTCATCTTCATCTTCCTGGGTGTCTCCACCGTGGCTGGTCACCACTACTGGAACTGGACCTTCGTCATCAGCACGCTGCTCTTCTGCCTCATCGCCAGGGTGTTAGGTGAGGTGTCAGTGTGGTGGCAAAGTCCTTGGGGATGGTCACAGAATCATGGAGTGGTTTGGGTTGGAAGGGACCTAAACACCATCTAGTTCCCCCCCCTGCCATGGGCAGGGACACCTTCCACTAGACCAGGTTGCTCCAGTCCAATGTGGCCTTGAGTGGCCACCCTGGTGTTGGGTCATGGGCAACTCTCAGGACCCTGCTGCCCAGGTTTGCCTTGCTGGGGAGACTGGAGTTGACTGGGTGGCACCGCTCCACCATGGGCACCACCCCTGCAGGTGGTTGGCTTTGGGAGGTGGGGTAAAGGCCATGTTTGTCCCAGGTGTGGGATTGGAGCTAGTGAGGGATGTTGGGATGAGCAGCAGGACAGCACCCACCCACACCCACAACCCTGGGGAGGGTGACACTGCACTGCAGGCTGGACTGCCAGGAGGTCTCTTTGGGTCTGGAGGGGATCCTTCACCATGTGGTCACACAAGACCCTGCCCTGCTCCCCCAGGTGTCCTGGTCCTCACCTGGTTCATCAACAAGTTCCGAATTGTGAAGCTGACGCCGAAGGACCAGTTCATCATCGCCTACGGGGGCCTGCGGGGAGCCATCGCCTTCTCCCTCGGGTACCTCCTGGACTACAAACACTTCGGCATGAGGGACATGTTCCTCACAGCCATCATCACCGTCATCTTCTTCACAGTTTTTGTGCAGGTTGGTGGGGCTCAGGTTGTGGTTTCAGAGGGAAAGGGGTTATTTAATGGCTCTGTGTGTGTGTGTGGAGAGTGAGGAGCACAACCCCACCCTCCCTCCCTGACCCTGTCACTGTCCCCCCAAAAGCTCTTGAGGTTCCCTGGTGACACCAACAGCGACTTGGCTGTGCTGAACCCCCCCCTGCTCCCACCAGTGTGCCTTGGGGAGAGATCTAACCCCCTCTCCCCCTGCCCTAGGGCATGACCATCCGGCCCTTGGTGGATCTGCTGGCCGTGAAGAAGAAGCAAGAGACAAAACGCTCCATCAACGAAGAGATCCACACGCAGGTAACGCGCTGCTCCGGCCGGCCCTCCCCGCGCGCTTCTCGTCGCCGCCTTAGCCCTCTGCTCTCTCTGCTTCTGCCACCTCCACCGCTGTAACCAGGCAGGTTCACAGAGCAGGACCTGCCCCTAAATCAGTGCCCAAGGTAAGGGGGGACAGAGCGAGGGCTCTCTCCCGTCTGTGTCGTCCAGTGCCCGCTCCGACCCAGCTCTCCCCTGTGCCTGGTAGAGCCGCAGCCTGGTTGTGTAGGTCTGTCCTGCCCTCCCAAGGCCCATCCTGGACCCACAGCCCTGATTTTGCACCCCCTGAGTGCCCTCTGTGTCAGCCTGGGTGTTGGGGTGGGGAGAGGGTGGGCAACAGCCCTCTGAGCTGCTGATGCCTTGGAGTGTCTCTTCCAGTTCTTGGATCACCTTCTGACGGGGATTGAGGATATCTGTGGTCACTACGGGCATCACCACTGGAAGGACAAGTGAGTGCGGGGGTTTGGTGGCTGGGGAAGGGTTTGAATCACCACCCAGAAGGTTTCTCAGCCCCGTACTGGGTTTTTCCCTAGGCTGTAACATTCACACACACTCTCCCTGCGGTGAATTATGGCCCTGGGTTGGGTCCAAGCGGGGCTGCAGGGCTGTACCCCCTCACCACAGCAGGGTGGGAGCTGCTGGTGGCTGGTCCCTGCAGGAGCTCAGGACTGTCCATAGTGGGTGTGAGCAGCTTCTGGGTGTTTTGGAGTCTGTGTGGCTCAGGAGGGATTCAGAGAAGCTTGGCCTAACCTGTGCTGGTGGGAACTGAGCCCACCGCTGAACGGGCTATCCTGGGCCAGGGATGGGGAGCAGGGAGTGGGTGGCAGGGCAGGGGGAGGTCTGACATGTTGCTGCTCCTTCTTTCCCCGTGTCCTCGGGAAGGCTGAACCGCTTCAACAAGAAGTATGTGAAGAAGTGCCTGATCGCAGGGGAGCGCTCCAAGGAGCCCCAGCTCATCGCCTTCTACCACAAGATGGAGATGAAGCAGGCCATCGAGCTGGTGGAGAGTGGGGGCATAGGCAAGATCCCCTCTGCTGTCTCCACCGTCTCCATCCAGTGAGTTCCCAGCCCTGGCACCTCCCATGGGACCCTGAGTGCTCCCTGCTAGTGGCCACAGGGCAAGCAGCCCTTGGGTCCTGCGTGGCCATTGTGGTGTCGCTCTGAATCCTGTCTGTCCACGCAGGAATATCAACCCCAAGTCCCTCCCTGTGGAGCGCATCCTTCCGGCCCTGTCCAAGGACAAGGAGGAGGAGATCCGGAAAATCCTCCGCAACAACCTGCAGAAAACCAGGCAGAGGGTGAGGTGTCCCCTGGCACTGTGTGTGTCCCCTTTGCCTCGCTGGGGGTGGCCAGGACCACTGCCCACCAGAAGCCCTCAGCTGGGCCCTTCACTCCCACTGTCCCTACCCTGCTGCCCTTTGTGTTCCTGGCCTGGCTCTCCATCCCCAGGAGGCTTTTCCTCCTGAGATGGCACTCGGATAATCTGAGGGGAAGGATGGCTTGGTCAAGGGGTGAGCCCAGCCTTTAAACCCTCACTGGGCCAAGGTGGGTCAGGATCAGGCATCCCACAGTGGCACACAAGAGATGAGCCACCAGCTTGCCTGGAGCTGCTCTGCCCACTGGTGGCTGTTTCATCAATCTCCAGGGAAAACAGGGCTGTGACCTTCCTTCCCTTTCCGTGTGGGATTTTAACGCCTCCTTTCCTTGGGGTCTCTTCCCAGTTGCGATCCTACAACCGGCACACGCTCGTGGCCGACCCCTACGAGGAGGCCTGGAACCAGATGCTCCTGCGGAGGCAGAAGGCCCGGCAGCTGGAACAGAAGGTGTCAGGGCAATGCTGGAACTGGGATGCTGCCACAGGCTGGGGAGGATGGGGAAGACAGGGTGGCTTCCCAGCCTGGGAAACACATGAGTGTCCAGCACAGGGAGGGAGCTGAGGTTCAGATGACAGTGGGCGACCCCAAACCTTGGGGGTCTCTGATTGCCCCAGGCTCTGAGCAATTCCCTGCAGCGTGGCTGGGAGGATGTGCACATGTGCTGTGCATCCCACTGCTGCTCCTTGCTCATCCCTGCAGCCTGGGGTCAGTTCCCTGCCTCCCCTTCCCCATGTACCTTGGCCATTCCCCTGAGACAGTGCCTGTGCTCCCATTCCAGATGAACAACTACCTGACGGTGCCGGCTCACAGGCTGGATTCGCCCACCATGTCCCGGGCTCGCATAGGCTCAGGTAGGTGGGATGGAGCTGTGGCAGGAGTGTCACTGCTGGCACCCAAAACACTCGGAGGGTGTGCTGTCCTGCACCTCCTCGGCTCCCTGTGGCTCTCCAGCCCCGACCATCCCCATCCCACACCCATCCAGCCAAGCCCCAGGGGTTTGCTGTTCTGAGCAGAAGCACCTAGTTTGCTTCTCAGCACAATTCCCACTGGCAAGTGGGGTTGGCCGGTCTCTCCAGAGCTCAGATTACTCCATCCATGCAGCCATGTCTGTGTCCATGCCTTTCCCTGCCCTCCCCAGGGGAGGAGACCAGGAGCGCTCAGCCCCAAGACCTGTTGGTCTGGACTCCCAGCTCCTCTGTCACGCACGTGCTTTGCAATCCTCAGTTCCTCCTGTCCTGCGTGTCTCTTCCTGCTCTGGTGACACGGTGACAGTGTGACGGGGTGTGACAGGGCTGCAGAGTCTGCGGTCCATCAGCAGAGGGCAGCTTTGTCCTTCCAAATGGAGCCGGGCTGTCGGCGGCTCCAGACGGGATGTGGAAATCGGGGAAAGGAATTACACAGCAGAATTGGAAAGCAGAGAGACAACCCAGGCCCTCCAGCCCCAAACACCCCAGCCATAATATCTGGGGTGCATCACCTGGGTGTCCCTGAGACCCCCCCTTCCCTTCCTGACCCCTCTCTGCCCCGCCAGACCCGCTGGCCTACGAACCCAAGGCGGACTCGGAGAACCTGCCCATCATCACCATCGACCCGGCCTCGCCGCAGTCCCCCGAGTCCGTGGACCTGATGAACGAGGAGCCCAAGGGCTGCAGCGGCCTCCCGCCCTCGCCCGAGGAGGATGAGGAGGGGCTGGTGATGCGGGTGAAGGAGCCCTCCTCCCCGGGGACTGACGATGTCTTCACCCCGGGGACCGGCGACAGCCCCAGCAACCAGCGGATGCTGCGGTGCCTGAGCGACCCGGGGCCCCGGCCGGAGCCGGAGGAGGGGGAGCCCTTCATCCCCAAGGGGCAGTAGCTGCTGGCACGAAGCCTCGTTATCGTTACTCTCTCTCTTCATTCGTTCGTTCTTTGCTCTCCTTTTTTTGGTTTCCTGTCACTACACACCAGGTTTGGGAAGGGGAGACTGTCCTGGATGGACTGGGAATTGCCAGGACAGCTCTGCCCTGGGCTGGCCCCGATGAGCAGGGAAGGAGCCCCGGGATGCCCCGGGCTCCTCGGGCGCCGTGGCCTGGGGGTGACGGACGATTTACTGGGATTTGCAGGTGCCTCACAGCCCCCACGGGGCTCTCCTAGAGGTGCCCACCCACTCAGGGCCTGCGAGTGGCTCCCTGGGGGGGCTGCGGCCGGCACAGGGGGCTCTGACCAGGGGTGTCCATAACAGCTCCCCCATGGCACAGCTTTCCCTCTCCCCAGTTGTGCTTTATCTGCCCCCTTGCCTTGCTCTGGAGCAGAGGGATGGGACAACAGGAGCCAGGCTCTGTGTGGGGCTGGCATACACACACTCCCCCCAGGACCCTCCCAGGGACCTCGGGATGGTGCCTCTGCTCCCTGCCCTGGCCACTTCCCCCCCAGGGCCAGCTGTACCCAGGATCCTCCCCCCTGGCCCCACATTTCATGCCAGGTCTTGTCAAATAAATATCTTAGAGCCATGCAAGGGGGGAGCCAGGATCCCCTTTCGTTGAGCAGCCTCTCCATCCCTCCTGGAACCACTGTCACCTGTCCCCGTGGGGACTCTCCACCAGCCTTGGCCCCTCGCCCTGTGCCAGCGCGGCAGCGGCTGCTCCTTAACCAAAGACGGGGTCTGGGGTGTGCCAGGGGAGCATCTCCTACTTGGGGGGGATTATTTATCTCTCCTGCAACCAAGAGGAGCTGGGGGAGAGCTGAGGAACAGCATGGGGACACGTTGGGAAGTTGGCAGGAGGGGGATGTCAGTGGGTGCCAGGGGTCCTGGGTTTGGAAGGACCCGTCTTTCCCCCAAAGCTTGGCTGGAGGGATCACCGAGTGTTTTGGTGATTTACAGCCCTCCCCGGGCCCAGGGGTGTCCTGCATCCTGTCTGAGCACATCACCTCGTCCCCCACGTGCCACCCAGCTCCCACCACGTGGATGCCATGTGCCTCCCCTCCCTGGGGAGCCCCCCCAGCCGCTTCCCCCCTCCCCGTGCCGTGCCTTGCCACGCGTCGCCTCTGCCCCGCTGCCTTGGTGGGCACCTGCCCCCCGTGCCCACCCCGCTCCACATCCCACTGGGACCCCTGGGGGTCCGGAGTGTGCCGGGGTGAGCACCCACGTCGCTGCCTGCGCCTGCCTGCTGCCCTGCTCTGCCTCCAGGAGGGGGAAAAAAATTACAAAACAACAACAAAAAGCAATGGAAATTCTCTTGTATAAAAAGGAAAAAAAAAAAAAAAAAGGAAAAAAAAAAGGAAAAAACCAAACCCACATGTAAAGAGAGATTCTTGGTTTTTATCATAAATATTCTAATAAATTAATGTTAATTTTTAGTGGGGGTATTTTCCAGCTGTTCGGGCTCCTACCCTCTGCCACACGGTCCCGGCTGCCCCAGAGGAACAAGGTGGGTGTGAGGCTTCATCCCCAGTGCTGGGATGGAGGGTTTGCCCCTCACCCTCCTGCTGTGGGAGAGAACTGGAACCTCATCCCAGGGGGGGCTTTTTAAACCATTCCCAGTTTTGGCAAAGATGGAGGCTTGACAGATCCTGGGCTCCCACATCCCTCCCAGAGCCACACCGATGTAAGGGTGTGTTGGGAGGGAAAGGGCTGGTGGTCTCACAGGATGAAGGTGCTTTTGGAGGGGGATGGATCACCCTGGCATAGCCCTGGGGTGCCGGCTAGATGTGCCAGCACAGCTCTGCCCACCCCAAGCTCAGGATGTTGTCCCCAGGCAGGAAGGGGCAGCAGCTGCCTTGTCCTGGCACTGCAGCAGGGTTTTTGGGGGGGCTAAAGGTTCCATCCCTAGGGAAGGGGGCTCGAGGACATCTGAGCCCTATGATTTTTTTCCTGGATTTCCCCAGGAGTTGGAGCTGAGCTCTCAGAGAGGAGCGTTTGCAGAGAGGGAAGAGGCTCAAGGCTGCCTGGGTTGCCTGGGTGAGGGCAACCCAAAAATCCCCCAGGATCCTCCTCCCCAGCTCCAGCAGGGCTTGCACCTTCTCCCCCCTCCCCACCAAGACCCCTCCCAGAGCCCGGGGCAACCGGAGCCCCTCGCCCTGGGGCAACTGCAATGGGAATGTGTTTCATGGCTGCAAATTAAAGCCCTGAGCCACCAGGCGGCCGTGACTCAGCCCCCGCCCTCCAGCAGCGCGTCAGCGCCGGCCTTGCTCACCTGCTTAAAATACCTGAACCCCAGGGTCCCCCGTGGCCCCGGGCTGGGATTTGGCCAGGTCACCCTGCCCCAGGGGTTCCCTCCTTGCCGAGGGGGGTCTGGGCGGGATGAGGTGGCCAGGGATGTGGGACAGGGGATGCCGTGGGGCAGGTGATGCTGTGGGGCCCATGGGGCAGGCAATGACAGGGGACAGACAATGCCATGGGGCCCATGAGGTGGGTGATGCTGTTGGGCCCATGGGATGGGCAATGCCATGGGGCAGGTGATGCCATGGGGCCCACGGGGTGGGCAATGACATATGCCCCATGGAGGTGCCAGTTTGGTGAGTGCCATCCTTGCACCCCACACAAGGATCAGGGTGGCTCATCCCTGGGGGCAGCAGTGCCAAAGCGGGAGGGTTTGGCAGGAACAGGCACAGCCAGGCCATGGCTCTGTCCTTGCTGGAGGAAAGCAGCGGTTTTGCCATCCCAGCTCAAGGGGTAGGAGAACTAGAGGTGCTGGATACAGCCCAGGGCACGGAGGGAGCAGCAGGAGCATGGCAGCCCCGGGCAGTGCCCGGGAATCTCACCTGCCCACGTGCCAGTGAGCGTCACGTGCAGCCGTCCTCTTGGCTCCAGTCATAGCTTTAATGTGAGAGCTCCCCAAACCCAGGCATTTCCAGGATATTCTTGTTTCTGTCTTAAAGGGTGAGTAACTTTTTTTAATGAGGGAGGACTAATGATCCCCCCCCCAGGGATGGGCTGTCACCGCTGAGCAACTGCCAAAGCACACGAAGTGCCGAGGCCAGGGGTGGATGGGCCCTGGTGTGTCCCCCCAGCCCTATCCACAGTCCTGGTGGTGATGCCTTTTCCCTACATATGGCTCCCTCCAGCCCTGTATCCCCCCTTTCCCTCCCAAAGTGTATTTGGGCCATGGTGGTGGCACCAAGGACACATCAAGTTCTTCCTGAACAGGGAGTTCCTGAGCGGGACGACCTTGTCACACACACACACACACACACGTGCCAGGGTGTTTATCCCCCTTCCCCATAACCCCCATCCATGGGGGTTAAAGAGCTGCAGGAAACTGCCCCAGCCAGGAGATGGACTCTGTTGTTTCCCTCTGTGGTCTGACATGAAGCCTGGGGGGCAGTGGGTGGCAGGAGGAGAGCGAACATTCCCACAGCCTCAGCGAGGACCAAGAGGACTTGGGAAAGGCCATGAAATCACTCCTCAAATCACTGGCTCCAGGCTGAGCAGCCCAACAAGGCAGAGCTCCTGGCTGGCTCCCCAAATTTCCCAGGAGGAGAGGCCAGCACAGCGATGGCACAAGGTGTCCTGGAGCTGCCACCACCCTCAGCTGTGCTCAGGTGCCACCCGGGGCCCAAGAACCCAAAGAGAAGGGAGTGGCTGCGCTCTCTGCCAGGCTCAAATTAGTGGCACTGAGATGGGTCATCCCCTGCCACGGCTTTAAAGGCACAAATCATGCCAAGAAAAACAGCGTGTGGTGTCACCGGGAAGCCACTGAGCCTGGGGACACACAGGTCACTGTTCATGCTGCCAGGGGATGGAGACCTCCCCAGCTGGTGACACCCCAGGGAAGCTGCAAGAGGGCATCTCAGTCCCTGCCCACTGTGGGGCCAGGTTGGTGCTCCATGTCGTTGCTGTGTCCTTGTCCCTGAGCCCCGGGGGTGCCATGTCCCCCCCACACTCCCCGGGCAGCATTTTGCAGCAGCCAGGGGAGGTGACAGGAGCCATTCCCCAGCTCTGTGTCACCTGCAGTAATAACACCCTGTGCTCCCTTTCATCTCGGGGCCTCCCTGGTGGCCCCTCTCCAGGGCGAGGGCATCCCGGAGGCATCACTCATCATCCATTCCAGGAGGCAGCCGGGGATGGGGCCGAGTCTGGGGGTCCTGGATGGTGACACGGGGGGACCCCGGGCTGAGAGCAGAGAGTGACGGCAGAGAGTGACCCCCCTCATGCCATGCAGTGAACACAAGTGCTCACTGTGCACCTGTGCCAAATCCAACCCTGCCATGGCCAGCATGGGAAAACCACCTCTCTGGGCAACTGTGGCCACTCAGGGCCACCACAGCAGCTGGTGGCACAGCCCCAGGGACATGGATGCCCCATCAGTGAGGGTCTGGGGACAGCGAGCAGCAGTGGCACCTCTGGGATGGGCTGTGCGGGAGCGAGAGGAACTGGACAGTGAACCCGAGTGACTGGGAGGTGTCCAGGAGCTGTGTTTGCCCAGGGAGGGGCTGGACACGGCCACAGAGGAGGGTTCCACCTCCTAAACCCACAGCGGGCACGTGGAGCCCGGCGTGAGTGGGGATGGCAGTGTGGGCGTGGGGACGGTGACAAGCGTGTGGGGACAGCAGCAGGTGTGCATGGGACAGCGGGCGTTTGTGTGGAGATGGTGGCAAGTGCGTGCATGGGGATGGCAGGGAAATGCATAGGGACGGCTGGTGCCTGCCTGGGGACAGCTGGCATCTGCGTGGGGACAGCTGTGTGCGTGCATGGGGACAGTTTGTGTGTGCGGGGACAGCTCGTGTCTGCACGGGGACAGTTTGTGCCGCCGTGGGGACAGCTGCGTGTCCACGGGGACAGCTGTGCGTGTGCACGGGGCAGCCCTGCACAGGACAGCCCGTGCGTGCCCGGTGAGAGCCGCCGTGGGCTTGGGGACAGCCCGCGTGTTCCCGGGGACAGCCCGGGACACGGCTGACGTGAGCGGTGCCAGGGCGGCTGCCGTGGGAGCGGGGCGGGAGGAATGCCCCACCCCGACACAGAGCACTGCTGCTCCCCCGGGGCGACACCGGGTGACGTTGGTGGCTCCGGGAGAAGGGCTTGGTCCCTCCTGCGCGCTCAGGGAGTTGGCACACACCCTGCGCAATGCCGAGTGGGACGGAGCCGGTCCCACGCGGCTCAGGGCGTCCCTGAGGTCTCTTCACCTCCAGGCTGGGCTTTCACCCCCTGCCCCGCTCCCCCGGCGCTTCCACCCCTTTTCCCCACAGTTCCCCCACTGACCAGCCCGCCACGCCACACGGGGCTGCCAAAGGTTCCCAACGCCCCGCGGGGCTCAGCTCAGGTGGGGATGTTCCACCTTTGTCCCCACCCGCCCTCCTGGCAGCCTCTGCCCCTTTCCGTACCCCTGGAAATGCTTGGAATTCAGGAAGACCCCTGCTCCTCCCCGTGCACACGCCGGGGCACGTTCCGGCTCCACCCCAGATGACTTCCCGGTGTCCCCCGGGCAGCACTGGGATGCTGCCGACCCCAGATCCGTGGGACGAATGGGACCGTGGCACCCCGAGCCCCCGTCTTCCTGCACAGCCCCTGTCCCACCCTCACATCCCCAAAGGGGCTTTGCCACCCTCGTGCCACCACCCGGGAGGCAGGATCCGCCCGCGTTTCACCCCGGGACGACGATTATTCCTTAATTGCCAACAAAACAAACGAATAAAGCCCGGGCTGGCTCTTGCTGAGCTGGAAGGAAACGGCCTGGGTGCCATTCCCAGCGCTGGGTTCGCTGCCGGCGGCTCTCTGGGATAATCGTTTGGTGATGGATGTTAACGAGCAGCTCAGCCAGTCCGGCCGGAGCGCGTCAGCTCTTTTTAATGGGCCGATGTTTTCTCCGGAGCTGGCAGCAGCCCGTCCCTCCCGGCCCGTGGATGTCCCAGCTCATTGCCAGGCCAATGGCTCGTCCCCCAGGGACCTGCAGTGCCCTGTCCATCCCATCAGCTCCATGGTACATCCTGCCCCACGACAAAGAGGTGTTGTGGCCCGTGGGGTCCCCCAAACCCGAGGGGTGCTCAGCCCCCAGTCAGCCCTTCATCCTGCTGGATCCCCCCAGCTGGATGGACCCCGATCCCTAACACTATTTGGCCCTTCTCAGAACCTTGGGAAACCCTTCCCGATCCAGCTTTGCTGCTGGCAGAATAAAAAGGGTTTTGCAACTGGAGGCAGCTGCCTGATTTTATCAAGTTCCTTGGAAAAATCACTTTCCAGCAGGGCTCCCCTCCTCCTGTGCCCCGGTTCAGAGACTCATGGAGAGCAACCAGGAGCAGCTTTTAATCCCGATGGAGATGCCTGGGGGAGTCATGGGATGACACAGGCGGAAGCCAGAGAGCAAAACACCTCAGCAGGAGGAGAATCCCAAGTGGGGACCCCAGCAGAGGGGACTCCAGCCCCCATGGGGACTGCTGAGACTCTCCATCAGGGAATGGGGAGGATTTTGGACTTGACAGTGCTTGGGACACCTGGTGCCCCCTTTCCCCTCCAGCCTCATCTGTGGATGCTCCTAAACACCCCATTTCCCCCCAGATCCCTCAGCACTCAGTTGCTCTTTCCGCTGCCAACTCCAGCTTCCAGCAGCAAACCCCTGGGATATGGGAGAGACCTTGGCTTCACTGACAGACTTTGCAGCTTGGAAGAGCTCTGCAAAGCCCCGGGGTGGGCAGGTGGGGGTTTTCAGGGGAACTCTCGCAATAAAACCTTGTGAGGATGTAAAAATAAAACTGGGCTCGTCTTCCAACGGGGTTTGTAGCTTTTAAGAATGGATCCCAGCTCCAAGCAGGAACTGGGGAAAGGGAGCAGCAGCTGCAGATGCAGAGCCTGGAGTCGTGCCCATCCATCCACGGGTCCGCGGGGCATCGGGCACCAGCTCGGCGGGGAGGCGCCTGCTGGGAATGTCTGCAGGGGGAGATGTTGCGGAGAAATGAGCTCTTTAAAGGGATGGGAATTGTTGGGATGAAAGGAAATGGGCTGCCAGAGGCTGGGGACACGTCTGGTCCCGGGAGGAGGCGGTGGCTTGACTGGCAGTGAGGCCACGCGATGGGATTTAGGGGCTGGGGTTGAGCTCCCGGGGCTGGGAGAGCTCTGTCACCCTGGGGTGTCACCCCGCGGTGTGACCCTGTGTCTCCTGGGTGCCAGAGCTCCCTGGGGACACTGTTGGCCTGGGGGAGTTGGGGGCAATGGGTTGTGGGGCATCAGTCCATGGAGAATCAATGGGGTACCAGAGCATGGGGCATCAATGGCATTAATGAGGCACCACATCTCAGGGCTTCAATGGGGCACAGGGTATTAATGGGGTGTCAGATCATGGGGCATCAGCAGGGCACTAGGGCATGGACAGCAGTGGGGCATCAGTGGGGTATCAGATCACGGGGCATCAATGGGGCATCAGTCCATGGAGAATCAATGGGGTACCAGCCTGTCAGGCATCACTGGGGCATCACTGGGCATCAATGAAGAGCAATGGACAGCAAAGAACATCAATAAGGCATAAAAGGGACATCAAAGGGGCATCAGTGAGGCATCAATGGGGCATCGATGGGCATGAATTGGAATCAAAGGGTATCAAAGGGAATCAAACAGGCATCAAAGAGGCATCGGTGGAGTAAGAAAGGCCATCAGTGGGGTATCAAAGCCCATCAATGGGGTATCAAAGCCCATCAATGGGGTATCAAAGCCCATCAATGGGGTATCAAAGCCCATCAATGGGGTATCAAAGCCCACCAATGGGGTATCAAAGCCCATCATGGGGTAATCAAAGCCCACCAATGGGTGATCAAAGCCACCAATGGGGTGTCCCCTTCAGCGCGCGGCCCCGTCCCCGACCGAATCGCCGCCGGGATTCCGCGCGCCGGAGGGGCGGAGCTCCAACCGCCTTCGCCTCGCCCCTCCATCGTCCCCTGCCCCTTTCCCCCTCCCCTCTCGCTCCAATTGGCTTCCGGGCGCCGGGCCGCTCTCCTCCCGCCGCGTGCCCGCGCTCGGGCCGGGATTGGCGGTGGGCCGGGCCAAGGGGCGCGGGCGGGCCTATATAAGGTGCGGCGGGGGCGGGCGGGGCAGCGCTCGGCGGAGCCGGTGGCGGGCGGGGGGCGGACGGGGCCGGTTCGCTGCGAGTCCCTGCGGGCACGACCTGCGCCTCCCGCCGCGCCCATGCGCGCCCACCCCGCCCCTCATCGCCGGCGCCTCCTCGGGGATTCCTTTTTACTTTTTCCCGTCATTTTAAACTTCCCCCCCGTTTCCCTACTCCCGCCCGCCACTTCCGGCCGGTTTCCGGGCTGTTTCCGGGTGAGCGGCTCGTTTTTTCGGCGCGGTTGATTCTTGTTTTTCGGGGGGACGGGGGGCGGTCTGCGAGAGATGCTGGAGGTGGTCGGCGGTGCCGGCGGGGGCCGCCCGGGCGGTTCGGTAGAGGAGCGCGGGAGCCGCTTCAGCGTCCCTGACGTGGGGGAGCAAAGGTGGATAGCGGCTGGACCAGATCCTGGGGAGGCAGTGCCCATCCACGGCCGGGCAACTTCCAACGCTGTCCGTGCGGCCCCGCACCAATCGGTCCAAGGTGTTAGCGCCGAGGGCCGGAGGGGCCGTCCGGGCGGGTTGTGGGGTGCGGGGTGCGGGGGGACACACGGGCCGCTCGCTGTCGCCCCGTTGGACTCTGCCCCGGTTCCAGCGGGGGTCAGGGAGAAAATAAAAAGTGCTGAGGCGACATTAATCGTCCCCGTCGGGCCCCGAGCCAACCCGCCCGGGCAGCCTCGGCCTCCCCCCGCCGGGCCCAGGGCAGAGCTCCTGGCGCGGGGATCGCAGAACGCTTTGGGTTGCAAAGTACCTTAAATACCTTGAATACTCTCCGCTGGAAGGGACCCGCAGGGATCATCCATCCCAGCCCCCGGCTCTGCACGGCACAAACCCCAGAAATCCCACCCTGTGTCTCAGAGCGTTGTCAAGACGCTGCTTGGCCTCTGGCACGCCTGGGATTCGGGAAGACCGTCTCATTCCAAGCCCCTACCCCTATTCCAACACCTTCCACTAGACCGGGTTGCTCCAAGCTCTGTCCAGCCTGGCCTGGATGCTCCACAGGGGTTAAAAGCTGCATGGGAGGACCGGCCCCCATCATCCGGGGGGTGCTGTGCACTCAACTGGCCCCACTTCCCGACCCTGAGGGTCTCGGTAGGGCTGGCAGGAATTCATTGCACTGCAGCGATGTCTAAAGCTGGAAGGACCCTCCTGGAAAACTTGCATGCCTTTAAAATGCTCAGCTTCCTCCCATCTTGTGTTGTTCCTCCTCTTTTCGAGTTAATTTGGTGCCCTAAGAGCTGTGAAATGTGTGTGGCCAAGGCAAAAGTGGCTTTTTTTTCTTTTTTTTTTTTTTTTTTTTTTTGGAGCTGCTTCCACGAAATGGCTTCGTGCTGGTGGACATGTTGGGCTTGTGTTGGAAGAGGCATTTATTAATTCAAATGCCGGATCAAATGTCCGTGTCCTTTGATTTCTCGGGACACTGATGTATCCTCCAGAGCCTGCCCGAGACTTCACGAGCTCCTGTTAGTTTAACTATCAAGTAATAACCGTGTTTAATATTAAACTAACAATGTAGTTCGAATGAGCTGATGCATATTCATGTTTGGGAGGCGACTTCATTCCTCAGTAATGACTCATCAAATGTAAAATCGGGCATGTTGGCTTCTAATTAAAAAGCCTATTCACGGTGCTAAAACCCAACTGGCTTTCACAATAACCTAATCGCCGGGATTTCGGAGCCTCAGCTGCTTGAGAAATAGTTCGAGTTAAGCCTGGGAGATGGGAGGGTGACATTTGAAAGGCTCGGCTGGTTTTAAATTCCTCGAGTTCCTGCCGCATCTGTCGGGGGCAGAAGCGCTAAATTTTGGCCGCTGGATCTTGAAGCTGAATGACAGATGAGATTTGCAGGCAGGACGCTGCCCTTGGCTCGGGCGAGACCACAGCACTGGGCAGCATCAAATGTTCCACCAGTTATTCCTCTCTGGTTCCACAAAAACTGCGGCGATTCGGTGTCGGAGCTGCCGAAAAGGATGTTGCCAGTAGCAACTTCAAACATGGAATAACTGAGGGCTGTAATTGTGCCCGGCCGTGCTGGCAGACCCTGTGTTTAGGGCTGACTAAGCTGGAACAAGTAACCCAAAAGGCAGTTATTTATCCTGTTGTTGTTGTTGTGGGAGGTGGGAAGCGGCAGGTCAGGACGCAGCAGGATTTGCTCCTGCCTGGCTGTCAGAGTCAATTATCCCAACCACACGGAAGGTGAGCTGCTGTTTTGGGAAGCAGGTCAGCAGCTGCCTAACCCTAGAAATATCCAACCCTCTGGGGGAAAAAATGCATCCCTGAACCCACTGCCTGCAGCTGGGGAGCTGAGCTCCCAGGTGGAAGCTCCCAGGGAATGGCAAGGTGCTCTGCAGGGTTGGAGCTTTCTGGGGTGATTTGGGACAAAGCTGACTCAAGCAGTTGCATTTTTCCCCTGTTTTCTGAGTACATCTCACACGGACAGACCTGGGGAGCTCAAGTAAGCCTGGAGCTTATGGGTCTGAAACACTGCAGGTCCCAAGCTTTGCTCGGAAAGGGGTTAAGCAGATGTTCTCTGGGGTTAGGGAATTAATCTGGAATGAGATCTTCTCCAAGCACTGGGCCTGGCTCCGCATCTAACACTTTTGTGACCTACATCTTGTCTCTCTAAGCCTAATAGCACAAAACTCTTAACTCCACGAGTAGTGCTGGAGCCGTGCCCCGGGTGAGTGACTCCAGTTGGCAGCAGATGCAGACCAGGAGCTCCCCTGCATGATGTTTGTTCAATTTGGGGGATTAACCCTGTGTCTCTTCCAGGAGTAAACTTAATTTTATTTTATTTTTTTTCAAACTATCTGCCTTGGAAAACAACTTCTTTCACTGGCTGGATTGGATGTGCTGGTGGGGACCTGAGACTTCTGATGGTGAATAGCTCCCTGGTTAACTGTTGCCTGACATGTGACTGTCACCACGGGCCTGGCAAGGAGCCCAGGCATGTTTCTAGCCTGAGCAGGGATGGCTCGTGTCAGGGAGAAAAGGGAAACACCAGCAGGGAAGCTGCATCGTGAGCCTGAACAACCTCTAAGTGCAAAAACATCCATGAGGTTGTTCTGAGATGTTTTGGGGTTTTTTTTTTGCAGAGGCAGCAGAACTTGCTGGCGGCCCTTAGCTGGGTCACCAAGGGGTCTGTGACACGGTGAGGGTTTCACGCTGCAGTTCTTCACTTTTTGTGTGTTCTTCTTTCTAAACAAAACTCGTGGAGGGGCAGCTTTACGGCTGCTGAGGCCGGAGCTGCAGCGCTCTGGTCTCCCCCAGCACTGTGTGCTCAACCAGCAAGAGGGTTTGCCCCTTCTGATAAAGTTCTGAATTAAAATTGGGATTCTGGGAGGCCGAAAATCAGAATTTGTGGGGCCTCTCAAACTAGGGCAGAGCTGAAGGGCCTGGTTGGACTGGCTCTTGGTGATACAATTTGTCCGTTTGTGTCCCAGGCTTTGGCTCTTTCAAGCCATAGCCTCGCTTCAGGCTGGTTAGCTGGGAGTCCCAGGAAAATGGATAATGGCTGGAGAGGAACATGAAAGCAGGATGAGAGGTGGGAAGAGCTTCTGGTGGAAGATGCGGACTTAATCTTCCTGGGATCTTTGAGCTGAGTTAAACTCAAATTATAAGCTGGTGTCCAGAGAGTTTATTTTATGGTCTTGGGGGTTATTTTAGCCTCCTGCTTGTTAAGTAATCAGGCAGGTGATTCAGCTTCCCTCTAAATGAACAAAGCTTTGGAGGGACTGGTGGGTGTGCCAGGACTGAGCAGGCAGCATTAAAATCACCGGAGTAACACCCGTAAGATGAAAGCTGCCTCTTGTGCTTGATAGCATGCCAAGCTCAGCACGAAGCTCTGACACACTGGAAATTGTTAGGATACACTTACTAGTTGGGACATGAACTTGCATACGCCTGGCTGGGGCTTTTGAGCAGTTCTGGCATCTTGATTTGCCTTTAATGAATCTTGACAGGCCGAAGGGGATGGCTAAAAGGAGCGAGCCACCCTGATTAAATCCACTGGGACTGCTGCAGGCTGTGCTGCTGCCTCCCTGTTTGGGGTCACTTTGGGGTCGGCTGGTCTTGGCTCGCTGGCTGGAACTGTGAGGGGATGAAGGGGGCAGGGACCACCCCAAAAAATGGGGTCAGGGAACCTCTCCCCTTCAGCGTGGGGAAGGCAGGGGAGAGCAGACACTGCACTGGAAGCAGAACAGCTCATCATGTGCAGTCAGATCCCTCTAATGCCAGGGAATAAGTAAAGGAGAGCCACCCCTAGCTGCTGGCAGGACTCGGGATGCTTTCCAAAGTGACCTATTTCTAATGGATTAGCTTTTTATTTCACTGTCTTGCACTGGAGTGACCCATATAAGCCCAGGGAGTGGATCCTGCTGTCACCAGGCTGCTCCAAAAAATTCCTACTTGCCTCTCACTGACTCTCTTTGTGTCTCAGGTTGTCCGTAGCCGCCTGGAGAAGAAAGGAATCACGGTCCATAATGTCAGGTTGAATGGCTCAGCAGCCAGTCACGTTCTGCATCAAGACAGTGGCTTGGGGTACAAAGACCTGGACCTCATTTTCGGCGTGGACCTGAAGACAGAAGATGTTTTCCAGCTCGTCAAAGACGTGGTCATGGATTGCCTGCTTGACTTCCTCCCCGAAGGCGTCAACAAGGACAAGATCACCCCCATGACTCTGAAGGAGGCCTACGTGCAGAAGCTGGTGAAGGTGTGCAACGAGACCGACCGCTGGAGCCTCATCTCGCTCTCCAACAACAGCGGGAAGAACGTGGAGCTCAAATTCGTGGACTCTCTCCGGCGGCAGTTCGAGTTCAGCGTGGACTCCTTCCAGATCATCCTGGACTCGCTCCTGCTGTTCGGGGAGTGCTCGGAGAACCCCATGGCTGAGAACTTCCACCCCACGGTCACCGGGGAGAGCATGTATGGGGACTTTGAGGAGGCCATGGACCACCTGCGGAACAGGGTCATCGCCACCAGGAACCCGGAGGAGATCCGAGGGGGGGGGCTCCTGAAGTACTGCAACCTCCTGGTGAGGGGGTTTAAGCCCAAATCCGAAGTGGATATGAAGGCACTACAGAGGTACATGTGCTCCAGGTTTTTCATAGACTTCTCTGACATCGGTGAGCAGCTGAGGAAGCTGGAATGTTACCTCCAGAGCCACTTTGTTGGGATGGAGAGCAACAGATATGACTATTTAATGACCCTCCACAGGGTGGTCAATGAGAGCACAGTCTGCCTCATGGGACACGAGAGGAGGCAGACCCTGAACCTCATTGCCATGCTGGCTGTGAGGGTCCTGGCTGAGCAGAACATCATCCCCACCGTCACAAACGTTACCTGCTACTACCAGCCAGCCCCTTATGTCAGTGAAATAAACTTCAACTACTATGTCACCCACGTGCAGCCCTTCCTGCCTTGCAATCAGTCCTACCCAACGTGGCTTCCCTGTAACTGAGCCAGGACAAACGTCAGGGTCTGTCCTCCAAGGTATTTCCTTGCCTTGGCGGGTCGGGAGGGTGGGATGGGAAGGGTAAAAAAAAATACAAAAACAAAAACAAAAAAAAAAACCAAAAAAAAACCACCACAAAAACAAAAAAACCAACCAACCTTCCTAGAACTGCAACAAAAGGAAACTTCCTGGACTCCTGCTTGAGTGTCTTGTTCCTCGGGGTTGTTGGGACAAGACCTGTCTGCTGTACACTGTGATGGGAAGTGCAGTGTTATAGAAACGAGGTGACTCGGACGTTCATGGGAAGACTCGCTTATGGGATTCTGGGAGGCAATGGGGTGGGTGGGGGTGTGTGAGGGGAGACTGTAGAATTACGCTAAGGTAGAGCTGCACTGCCCTGAAATGGATCTGAATTGTGTTGTGTTTTGTTTTGTTTTGTTGTGTTGTGTTTTTTTTTTAGTGCAGGAGGTGTTATGGGTGTGCAAACTTGTGGTTTCTGCCAACAGAAGCCCGAGTGGCTAAATTCCTTTGAAGGACCAAAGAATCCTGTTTAAGTGCCTGTAACAATATAAACACAACTGTACTGTAAACCTTTATTATTTTTGCAGGGGCTGATGTCCCAAGAGCTTGAGTGGGGATTGTCTGAAGAGGAAAATGTTTCTGTTGTGGGGTGGGGAGGGTCGTAAGATCATTTCTAGTAACCTGGCTGAGGTTCTGTGTCGCTGAGGTTGTGTTTGTTTGGGTTTTTTTTTTTGGCATGACTTGCTGCCTGTGAAAGGACCAGCTGGAGCAAAGAGCTGTCAAAGTGGGGCTGCATAAACCAGGGAGGTATTGGAATGGCTACGTGTAAATGCCTGAAACGGGGAACACTGGGGAAGGGGGGAGTGCATGGTGGAAAATGCTGTGCAGAGCTTTCTGGAAAAAAAGGCAGCAGGGACTCTCATATGAATTTCTTCAAGCTCCCAAGTCTGCAGTGCCAAAATACGGTCGTGTTCCTAGATGATGAGGCAGATGATCTGTCCAGGAGCCTGCCCCAGGCTGCTGGACCTAATCCTGTATTTTCTAGGGGAATTTGAAATGCTGCTCTTCCTAGGTTTTTTTAATTGTTTTGTTTTTGTTTTTTTTTTGGCATGCAGTGTGGTTTTAATGCACAAAGCCAGAGGCCAGCTGGGTTATCGGGGAAGATGAGGCTTGTCCTTTTGAAGCACAAACCACTCAGTTCACGAGTCAGTTATTTCCAGCTGTTGCTGGAGCCTGTGTCCTCCGAGGAGATGGGCAGAGCTCTTCCAGTCTGGAGATCTTCCCTTGGGCAGGTCCTGTCTTCCAAAGCAGCCTGTTCCCAGCTATGTGATTCCATCAGCATTTGAAATTCATTCTCTAGCTAGAAATGGAGCTGGGGGGGGTGGGTGGGGGTGAAGTTAGTTTGCCTTAGGAAAGAAACAAGAAAAAGGAAAAAAAAAAGTCTTCTAAACAGACCCTCTTGTGTTGTGAGGGTTTGGCTCTCTCAGTCCAACGTGGCTTTGAAGTTTTTGGGTGTCTGGAGCACAAAAGTTTTTCATGGAGGTGCCTGGATTGCTGTGCCCGTGGAGCATCTCAGATTTAACTATGCACGGAGGGAGAGGCGGGCAGGCAGCAGGCATTCCCTAGGGATGCTGCTCCGGGAACACCACGGCTTCAGTGGTGCTTCCTCCGAGGCTGAGGTACTCCAAGTATCTTTACTAACTTGTTTTATTTTTTTTTCTTTTGTTTTGTTTTGGGATTTTTTTTTTTTGTGACAAAACTGTAATAGCTGGGCAGATTGAACGCTCTTAATAAAGACTAGATCCTTGGAATGTGCATAGCCAGATTGGTACCTTTTTTGGGGTAGGGGCGATGTGGAGTTGGGAGTAAGGGGTGTGGGGGGGGTGGCTCTTGTGCTTAACATGAACTAACCCAGTTGAAACTGGTCCAGCTTTGCTCCCTCTCCAGACAGAGCTGAAGAAGTGTCACTAACAGTGTAGGTTTTTAGCTGCCTCCCTGCAGAACAGCTCTGCCTTCGTGGCCAAGGCTGTTGTGTCGGCTCTGCTGCAGCCCCAAAACTCCCCAGAGCCTCAGTGGTGGGAGCTTGAGATTTTCCAGTGCAAGTTAAAACTGCTTTAAGGGCTGCCTGTGGGAGCAGATGATACTTTTTTTTCTTTCATTTTAAACTTCAGATGAACGTAGATGCCATGTAGCATGTTTTCTGCAGGCTGCTCCTGCCCACAGACACGTAGACACACTAAACTGAGATTCCCTCCTTCCCTCTGAGGTGCCCAAAAAGATCCCCTACAGCCAACAGCTCAGCAGGGCGACTTCCCATTGAGATTGCACTTTTGATATACGGAGTGTGTGTGGTGGGACTCTTGTGAATGGGTTGAATCTGACTTTTTCTAGACCTTGCAGTGATACTGTGCTGCCTCTTGTGAGGGGGCAATTGGAAGATTCCAGTAGCTTGAATGGCACTTGATATTTTTTTTTGTTTTGTTTTGTTTTAAATGTCTTTTTTTTTTTTTCCTACACCTGTATCACTTGTCATGCAATGGGCTTGACATAGACTCACTAGATTCTTTAGAATCTGTTACGAATAAATACAGTGTATTCAAATCTGTTGGGTTATTTTTATTTGCTTGTCCAATCGGGGGAGTCGTGGTGATGAGGTGACTCTGCTCCCACCAAAAACCAGGCTCAAAACCATCGGGTGACCTCAGAAGGAGCTGAGATCCTGGTCCTGGATCTGCCCAGATGCTCCTTGTACTTCAGGCTGCTCCCTCCCTCTCTCCGAAGCAGCTACAAATCCCAGGAATTGTGTAGCTGTTGGCAGGTCGCTCCTGCAGCTGAGGGAGGTTTCTATTTATAACACTGTTCTTTAGTGTTGTGCATCTTCCCTTTTCCTGGTTCTCCTCATGTTGCTGGAGGGGGGAGGGTGGCCCGAGGTGGTGATCTGAGGTCCCTGCTGTGGGAATGGCACTGGGAGACTCTCCCTGCTGGTTTTCCACGGCTTCGTTCCCTGCTGGTGGTTTTGAACAGCAAAAGGTGGTTTGAGTAGTTAAGACTTGGATACTGTGTGTAGCTGACCCACCTGCAGAGTGGTTCCTCTTGGAAAAGGGGAGGGTGAGAGGCTCTGGAAGGCTTATCTCCCTAAAAAAGCTCAGTTCTGCTGATGTTCAGGCCAGATTCCCGTGGGATGGCTGGCAGCTGGGTGCCAGCTCCTCCAGCTCTGGCTGCCCTCCAGCCCAAGATGAAGTTTCACTTCCCCTTGTCAAGCTACAGGCGGTTCTGGTTCCACTGCAACAATGGAGCTGACGAGGTGCCAGTCCCTCTTTGGGACAGACTTGCTGGCTCTGCATCTCCAAATTTTTACAGTCCGGGGCCAAAGCTTCCCTCTGACAACAGGGCTGGGATGTTCTGGCTGGGCTGGCACTGTGTGAGTCCCTGTTGCCTGCTCGAGTAGGGCTCTGCCTCTGCAGAGCTGGTTTCTCTCCAAACCTGCTGGGTTTAGAGATGTTTCCTTCTCTATGGCACAAACCCAGCACGGCCTCCTGCCTTCCCTGAGCGTCTCTCATGTATGGAAGCAGCTCTAAAGTGTCTTAGTCCATCAGCTGTCTTCGGTGTGGGTGGTTGGTCCTGCTGTTGATGCTGTGGTGAATAAGCTGCCTCTGGATTTGTGACCCTGAGCAGAGCAGCAAAAGCCCTGACAGAGTCGGCTCAGCATTGTTGGAGCGGATCAGACCATACAAAAGGATGTTGGTGGAAAGTACTAGTTGTGATCAGAAAGGAGCTATCAATGTTTACAGCCGAGATTCGGATCCCTCTTTTGTTAATTGTCAAATAAAAAAAAAACCTGTATATTTTCTCACAGCCTGTAGTCTGTCATTATTTTCCTCTTTGAGGCAGAGGGCGATGGATAAGTCAGGGTGTGCCTGAGGGCTCTGGTGGGTGAGATTTGGGCTCTAAGTGACACTTGGCTCAGGAGCTTTGCTCTGAGGACAGACGTGTGCTGGGCTGGCTGCTCCTTTATAGTAACTGTCTATAAATATAGTCCCCTATATTTAGCCCAGTGGTCTGGGCAGTGCCCAGCTCGGATAACCAGAGTCAGGAGCGGAGGAGCCCACGCCACAGCCCGTGGTACAGTACAGCACGTGCCCACAGCACCTCTGCAGAGGGCTGCTGTGTGATCAATGCCTGGAGACGCATCCAAAAATACTCGGCGTTGTAGCAGCGAGATCACTCCCAGGGCTGGCGATGCGGGCTCCACATCTGCAGCTTTTTCTCCTGGAAGGACATCTGGCCCCGCTCCAGGATCGCTGAAACGGCAGGAATTTGTCTTGACTCCAGAATGCAAGAAGCATCTTGCTCCAGCCTCCCTGCTCCCAGCCATCCTTAATCCGCTGGCCCGGTGCCGAGGGTGGCACCAGCTCTGTGCAGGCGGGTTGCTAGACCCAGCATGGCATTTAAATTTTATTTTAATCTCTCTATTTAGCTTTTTTTTTTTTTCTCCCTTGCAGTGTGTGCCAGTGTTTCTCCCCGGCTGCCCTTCACCTCCTCCTCCTCCTCCTCCTCCTCCTCGGGAGCCGCTCGGGCAGCGCGGGTGTTAACTGTGCCATTCGAGCTCCTGCAGCATGAGAGAACAGTCTGTCTGTGCAGCTCCTCTTGCCATTTATAGCTGTGTTTGGGCGATCCAGCACACGGGCCCTTGTGCTCCAGAGCCTGGTGCCAAGCACGAGACAAATGCTCCATTGATATTGGACGCTCCGGGAGGGCAGTCTGCTCCCGGGACGGGGCTGAGCTGCCGGAGGATGGCACAGCCCACCCTGCCTGCTCCTGAGCCTTGGGGGGATGGCACAGCCCACCCTGCCTGCTCCTGAGCCCTGGGGGGGTGGCACAGCCCACCCTGCCTGCTCCTGAGCCTGGGGGATGGCAGCTGCCCACCCTGGGGGAACATGCTCCTGAGCCCTGGGGGATGGCACCAGCCCCCCTGCCTGCTCCTGAGCCCCGGGGGATGGCACAGCCCACTCTGCCTGCTCCTGAGCCCTGGGGGATGGCACAGCCCACTCTGCCTGCTC